GCCTGGGCAACACTCCCAAGCTGGGTCTGGATATCCCGCAGCACAGCCTGCGTGTTTCTCTTACCAGCTTCTAGCTCCATGAATTTGCCTGAAGCTTTCTCCATGAACTGCTCGATGTTATTGAACTTGTTTGCACTGGAGGTGGCCAGAGAACCTACCAGATCTCGCAATTCCGCCATCGGGTTACTTTGTGCTGGGGGCTGCAGGTGTTGCCCCTGTCTGATGAAATGGCCGCACCTGTGACTGAGGTGGAACTGGCCCCTGTCTAGGAGGATTGAGAGGCTGCTGCGGCTGCTGAAGTTTCCCCTGTCTGGGCTGGTAAGGCGCCATCTGGAATCCAGGTGGTCCCTGGGGGATTAGTAGTCTAGAATTTGCTCCACCCCATGCGAAGTTGGGATGTTGGCACCACCCCTCGTTGTAAGTGTTGTTGTAGGGGTCGAAGTGCCTGACATTGCCGATGAAGTCCAGCTGCTCCTGGGGAGTAGAAGACTCCCTCATCGCCTGGAAATCCTCCACGGTGTGATGAGAACTCTCACACCACTGGTAGAGCATCGCCTGCTGCTGTCCGGTACCTGCAATCATCCTGGAACGATCAATGGCTGAAACCAGCTTCGATACCACCTGCACCAAATCAGATGACTGGGTAGATACAACATGCACACCCCGTCCTGGTGCTCGTCTCGATCTCCTCACTGTTCCCCAGTCATAGCCCTGCTCTACCATCTCTTCAAAGAGTTGATTCAGTCGTGGCGGTGTTTTGGTGAGTATATTCCCGCCATAGACCGAGTCAATCAGCTGCTTGTCTTCCGGGAAGAGGGCATGGTAGAACGTGCCCACCTTGAAGGCATCAGTAAAACCATGGTTAGGACACTTGAGGAAGAGACTGTTTTATCTCTCCCAAGCATCTCGGATGGTCTCATCTTCATCCTGAGCAAAGTGGGTAATTTGCTTCTGCAGGTCCGCCGTCTTGGACGGGGGATGGTAGCGAGTGAGGAACTTGTCCGCCAGATTGGCGAACGTGGTGATCGAGCCTGGAAGTCGAGTGTCTATCCACTCCTTGGCCTGCTCTTCCAGAGTAAATGGGAAGTACCTCAGCTGGATGGCATCGGCTGGGACCCTATTTATCTTGATTCCATCGATGAGCTCGTGGAATCGCCTCAGATGTGATCAGGGGCACTCCCCCTCTTTGCCACGGAACACCACCGAACCGCGCAGCATGGTGATGACAGAGGTGCTCACCTCAAAATTATTTGCCGGCACATGAGGGTGTTGAATGGGCGACCTCATGTCCGCGGCCCTGGCGGTCCAGTAGTATCCCATGGTCTGCTCCTCGGGAAGGACCACATCATGGTCCTGTTGATCACCCATCTCTTCTCCGTCAGCGATTTGCAGCTGTGCTAGCGCCTCCTCTGCAGCCAATCGCGCCTTTAGAGCCCGCTTAAAGTTCCTGCAGGTTCGTTCAAGCTCCTGATCTAATGGTAGTAGATCTCCCGACTGGCTACGGGTCATGCACTACCTGCACATAATTAGCAGAAGCAACCCGTGAAGGCACACAGGTGGAAGAGATAAAATGCAATAAATAAAAAGCTAGAGTAACAAACTTTCACGTTTCCCCAATAACCTAGAGGGTCCCCAGCAATGGCGCCAAAAACTTGACACGCTACGACACAACACCAAACTGCGACCAAGTGTAATCGCAATCCAGGAATGCAGTAAAGTGGCAAGCTCTAATTATCAACTCGAGGTCTAGATCTACTGCCTACTCCGTGAATATCTATTATCTAGCCGACTAAGTCGATTTATTGTGGTTTTAACTAAAAGCAGTAAGAAAGCAGGAAATGATTCCGTTTGCTAAAGTAAAGGAAGAGTCACTCGGGAATGAGTCCCCCTAGCTCCTTAGTTAGGTCTCAGTTGTAATTACCCTGGGTTGATTTACTATTGATTAAACTGCGGAAGATCCGACAGTAGCTTGGAATCTCTTAAGCTGACCAAGCCCTCTCAGTCTAACTACCCGGCAGACGACTAGTCTTCACCGGGATAGAAAGCTGAAGCAATAAGCACAGAACTCCACTACTGGAATTGGATTCCAGTACAAAGTAGTAGACTAACTAACTCTCGTATAGCCAATCTACTACAACCGAATGAAGAAGCTCTCACAACCTAATTAGATTCTATCTATCTCAGGTTACAGCAGAAATCAAGAAAAGCTGATCAGACTTCAATCAATTCAATGAATCATGCATCATTCAATTAAAACCAAACAGTATTGCAATCCCAAGTCATTACAATCATGATCCCTAACACATGGAACTAGGGTTCTTCATACCCAAGTGAGAGAAGGGTCTACTCCATAGAGAGAGAGAGAGAAACAGAATACAAAGCATTCACACTCATAACAATGGGAAGAATCTGCTCTGGGATGATGATTTTCACTCCTATGATGATCTCCAAGCTCGATTTGATGAAACCCAGCTCCAAGATCGCTTCTAGGGTGTGTTCTCCGCACTTTCTCTCTCTAGGGCTCTGTTTTTGCTCTGAAAAGTCGATCCCCTCACTTGTGGCTCGAAATTGGGTTAAAACCCAGAATTCCCGACTCACACGGGCAGGCCACACGGCCGTGTGGCTTACCCAGCTGCCCGTGTGAGTGTCAAAACGCGGTGTTTCGATTAAGTGGTCTTCAGGCTACCTACACAGCCAGGGACACACGGCCGTGTGGAATCTCCAGTATGCCTGTGTGAAGCCTCGGTAAATCCCACACGGCCACATGGGTTTAGTACATGGCCGTGTGGGTTTTATGAGTGCCCGTGTGCCTTCCTCAGCGTCTCGGCACACGTCCGATTGATAGCCCGTTAGTTACACATGTTTTCACCCCTGTTCTTACACCGTTTGAGATGTGGTTTCTCGTGTTTTAGACCGATTTCACGCTAGGTTGTGCTTGTTTGTGATATTTCAGGTCCTGGCAAGTGAATGAAGGTTTAGGAGCGAGTTCGGGGTCGATTGGGCGAAGATCGGGCGCGAGACAAGTTGCAAAGGAGGTCACACGGGCTACCCTGATGTGCACACGGCCGTGCGAGAGGCCAGTCTGGCCGTGTGACATTCTGCGAGAGCAGACACGGGCAGAGCAGCAGATTGACACGGCCGTGCAAGTGGCCGGGTTGGCCGTGCCACATTCGCCGAGAGCAGACACGGGCAGAAGGAAGTCACACACGGCCGTGCCACACTGGCCGTGTAAGAAGCCTGGAATTCGACTAAGTGATACGGTGCGTTTTGCCTCACACGGGCAACTGGGTAGGCCACACGGCCGTGCCGCCCTGCCCGTGTGAGTCGGGATTTCCTGGTTTTAAGCCAAATTCCGAACCAAAGAAGAGGAGAGCTGGGTTTTGGATCCCAAACACCCAAGGGACGAACCAAAGAGAGAGAGGGCGATTTGAGGGCATTCTTGGAGTGGAGTTGGAGGATTTCTTCGCCTTGGAAGCTCGAGGAACAAGCCCGGACTTGAAGACTGATCATCTGAAGATTCTTACTGCAGTCTCTCTCTTCTCTATGGAGTAACTTCCCTTCACTTAGGTTTTGAGGAACCCTAGCTATGTTTGTTTGATTGGATGATTGTATGATTACTCTGACTTGATAATCTTGAGTTCATATCCAATCTATGCATGTTTTCATGATTCAATTCTGCTTTAGTCGAGATTATTGATTCTGCTTTGATTCTATGAGAGGGAATACCTGATTAGGTCAATAGAGCACCATAGATTGATAGTAGTGGATCGATTGCTTTAGTCGAGGGTTGATTCACTGCTTTGTATCGATTGAGAACCTCTTTCGATAGAGGGAGTCTAGTTCAGAACGCCTTGATCAGTTGTTCTAGAGAAGGATACGTCCCTCTACGCAATTGACTCAAGAGGGCCTTGTTCCTTTAGTCGAGACTCAAGGTCTAGTCAAGGATTCTCCGCATTGTGCATGAAAGTGAAACAAGTTAGAAATCATCAATCGTTAGTCTGGCTAGTGGCTAGGGGGAATCATACCTAAGTGAGTTCCCAACCTGTAATTAGATTAACTTTAACTGTAGTTTGCTAGAGTAGTTTTAGTTCTTTCATCTTAATCTGATTTGCTAAATAATAAACTGAAGCTGAGTAATAGTAACTCTAGAGACCCGTGGATTCGATATTTATCACTTGAGCCACTATACTGCAGTCCCTTTCATTGGTTACACTTGGCCTTTGTTAGGTGTTGTGTCGTAGCGAGTCACCGATCTTCGTCCAATCGACCCCGAACTCGCTCCCAAACCTTCATTCACGTACTAGGACCTGAAATATCACAAATAAGAACAACCTAGCGTGAAATCGGCCTAAAACACGAGAATCAACATCTCACACGGCTCAAGAATAGGGGTAAAAACATGTGCAATTAACGGTCTATCGGTTTTATTTTGTGGCCTAGTTGAGGCACATGATGTAATGATCTTTGTTTCCATATGAATATATGATTATCTTTTGTAAAGAAAAAAAAAACCAACTCATCGATTCTAGAAGGAAACTATGATACTCAATTATTTTCAGAAGTTTGTTACCTTTATATTAAGGGATCAGTTTAAGATTATCTTATTGAACGTGTGACAACTACATCAATTAAGCCTCAAAAGCATACTATACCTATAATCTAATGAAAACATGGATAATAATAATAAACAAGTATATGCTATTGACACAAAAAAGTTAAAATTATCATAATACTTGAATATTTTAAATGTTTTGGCAAAGTAAAATATGTTTTATCACAGCCTTCTAGAGCCACATTTCTTTAAAAACAAGTTGTAGTCAATAGGAAGTATTCTCATTATCGACGATCTTTTCTTCTAATTAATCCACAAAGAAAGGAAAGGCAAGTTGTGAATAGATATTGTACAAGAGACAACCAACAAATTAATATTGTGAATTGGAAATCCTTAAGTTTTATTTTGATCCTATATACATCTTATTTTCATTCTATTATCCACCGTTTAGTTCATTTTTCATCCTCCCTAACTTCCCCCAACCTCATCCTCTCGTTCATTTCCGTAGTAAAAAAACATAATCTTCTCTTCCTCTATTTCCTCTTATCTCCTCTCATCTCTTTTCTTCCTTTCTTTCTTTCTTCCTTCCTCTCTTTCTGCTTCTTCCATCTCTCTCTCCCACCTTGTATCATCTCTTTTTATTTCCCTCCACAACTCTCTTCATTCTGCATAAGAAATAATAAAAAATTTGCAGTTTTTCAATCCACCATTGTAAGAGGAGGAGCCGGCACCAACATCACAGCGTCGGCGGCCATTGTCTCTCTCGCATTCATCGTTATGGCAGTAAGTCGATTACCTCTCAATTCATTTCCATTAACGTTTAGATTGAGTGATTAATTTAGTAGTAATGGAATGAAAATTATTTCAATTAATTGTGTTTTCATGCCTAACATGAGATTAATAAAGAACATGTCATGCAAATTACGTACAGACTCTTTTATGATACAATTCACTCCATCACCTTTTAATACATTAGTTCAATTTGAATTCTAAAAAAATTGCTCAATTTGACATGTCATTTTTAACTTTTGGGTGACATGTCGTCACATCCTAATATGCATCTTATGATCAAGGTGAAACATTCCTTCTAAAGAATTTTTTAGATTTTATTGTGTTGAGTTTTTTCCGGTAATTATCACTTTCCTTTAAGCTCACTCTGGTCAAAAGAATCAAAGTTTGAAAAATACAAAGGTTTCAGCCTATTATTCCATCTTTACATTAGACTGTTTTGCCATAAAGAAAGAAAATCTGCTATCAACAATACATATTATAAAATAATAAATTGTTATAATATCAAGATCAAACTGCATAGCTAATGAAGTATCCAATAATTTATCTAAGACAAGTCCAACGTGAATTTATCTAAGATAGGTCCAATGTAAAAAAAATATATAATTTAAGTTTCATGTTGTATTTTCATATTCTGAAAATGTTCTAATATCCATTCATCATGCAAATTTTGAAAAATGTCATTCTTAAGGTACTTCACTTAAATATCAGTCATAATTTCAACTCTCATTCTATTCTGAAGTGTCTCTTCATGTTGTTCATTTTACTAAATGCTCTTTCAATGGGTAGCAACAAATGCCACTAACATTTGAGTTTTCGTCTATATTAAATTCAGTTACAAAATATATTAATTAGAAGTTTAATAAAAATAAAATAACATTTTTTCATGAAGTTGTTTACAATAATACGCATATCTATCTATGTTCAATCCACAATCACATAAAAAGTTTATTCATATAGTTTTGGGTGAAGATGATGCAAATGACCTCCTTTTACCTCATGTGGCTACGTCACTCAGCATAACTCCCATTATATATATATAGGTATATATAAGCAAACTTTTATATACAAATGGAAACATAACCTCTATCAAGAGTTCCTAGCAGCTTCAAAACCCTGTTGCATCTGTCCTTTCAACACAAATGTTACATCCAGCACCATCACATCCTTTGTGGTGTTATACAACTTCCCAATCACTAGGCCACAAGGTATACAGTTTTTCAAAGAAAACTTTTACTAACTCAATAGTGTAAGCAGCACGACAAAACAAATGGTCTCGTGTCTCTCTTACCAAATTGCATTAGATTTTCATTGTCGATTTCATGTGTCTTTTTTAATTAAATTTTGGATGCTTATATCCAGTGGTGGACTCATAAATTCTATATAGTAGCGCTCCCTCAAAAAATTAACATAATATTAATATTTGATTTCTGAAAAGAATATACTACACTAATAAAAATTACAATTAAATCATAATATTGTCAAAAGTGTCCTGGAAAAAATGAGCAAGTAGAGAACAACCAAATTATTAGTATTTGATTGAAAAACTTGATAAATTATTATTTAAATGAACTTTGATTTAATAAGAAAATTTATTAAGTTTTTGAATTTGAAAAAATTATTATTGTACATTCTATTTCATTTAACTTTCCAGTTAAATGAATTCAAAATAATTAAATATTTTTGGCAACCCCTAAAATCGTCTGCATGTATAATTTAAAATTATATTTTTATTAATCTCATTGTTTTTATATAATTCATAATTTTTAAATAGTGTCATGTTACTATTTAATTTTTATTTATCAATCAAACTTTTTCTGATAAGGATTCCAAAATAATTGAATTACAGTATATTTTCAATTTATTTCTCTATTTGACGAACATATAACTCAACAAACTTAGACGTTGAATATTCTACTTGTAATAAAATTACCAATCAATGGTAAATTTATTCCTGAATTAATATTTATACCATATGCCCATGATTTAAAATGTAATCGCTTTTTCCACCCATAGAAATTAAAAGCCAAAAATATTATTATTGATCCTTATGCACTCCAAATTTTTTTGCTGCTTCAATATCTAATGATAATAATCTCATAAGTAATTGAGTTGTAGTCGACCTTGTCACCCATGAACTAAACTCGAATATATCATTGTAGATTATCATGCATATCCGAGCCTATTTTGCTCTCTTACACATATGAAGTATTAAGTGATTGAGGGGGCTGTAGGAGCGACTGAGGCTTGACTTTTCCTAATCTACAACAAAGAGAGACTTTGTGGCAAAGTTATTTGTTTGGGATGTAGACTCCTTATTTAACATAACATCAACACAAAATTGACGTGTTCTTGAAGCAGACCCAAGACTGAAAGATTCACATGTTTGATAACTAAGTACCCAAGAAATATATATGTTTTAGATAAATAAAACAAAAACCAAAAATAAATTTACATTTTATAAGTATGTAATAGGGTGTAGTTGTAATACTACACCTCATTCAGGAAAATCTGAATTATTTGATTTGTAACTTGCAATCGTAACCTTATTACGACTCATGTTTGTATTTTACAATTTTTTTAGGTGAGATGAAAGAAACTGGAGAACTTTTTTTAGTCAACGGATTTCTCCTAATTAACAAATAACAACTAACCAATTTGCGCGTGTATGGTTAATAAACTAGTCGGTCTAACTCTAACTTGTTTATGTTTTCGATTAATGATTCGATTTGGCAAATACTTGTATTTTGCAGGACAAGGGCCGTCCGTTGCCAAAGTTCGGTGAGTGGGATGTAAATGACCCATCATCTTCAGAAGGGTTCACAGTAATATTTAACAAGGCCAGGGATGAGAAGAAATCCGGTGGAAAGTCTGACTCCCCAGCCAATGCTAAATCCAACACTAAGCATAGACAACAGCAATCTGCGACCCTTGGCAAACCTCAGTCCGTAAGTCATAAGGATTACTGTTTTTCTTAATGAGAAATTAAATTAAATGATTTTGTTGTTCGTCTAAGTGATACTGATTGGTCATAGTTATCAAATACATATATGATTGCTTAGTTATATAACTGCGTAGAACCTTTTCATAATTCATGCTAATAACTCATGCAAAGATGGTCCAGTTAAAGGAGGATTCGTTCAATTAATATGGGTTGTACTTTTTAGGATTTAATTTGCTCTCATTTCTTATACGAAAAAATTCTTCTGTTGAGAATGAGTCAATTATATTCAAAATATTGTGATTAAAATTTATGTAATTTATATTCGAAAAAATTCTTCTGTTGAGAATGAGTCAATTAACATGTTTGCATGGATTTACATGCCACTTATATGTACAAATGACTAACTTAGTAAAATTTATGTAATTTATAGTCATATTTTCCTCGAGCACTTAAGTTCAAAGAGTGCAAATTCACTTCATGGTGTCGTTGATTATAAATTTGCTATATTCTATTAAGGAGAAACAAGATTTCACTTGCTATTTTCTTTACACGACTCCTTTGGCTTAATTATATCCAGAAGAAATGGCTTTGCTGCATACAAGTTGTGGCCTCCGACTAAAATAAAGCAGCCCTCAATTATCCCAAAACGGAATGATTCATCGTCAATGCAAAACCCTAGTCCCAAATCCACCCATTGCATTATATGAAAAATGAGAGAAATCCAAGCTCTATTAGCTCGAAGTAGAAGAAGATGGGAAGAAGAGAAAGAATAAACTATGATAATGGGTTATATTCTTTTTTGAGGGTGTTTTATTTAAATTTGCGTTGATGTTGACATTTGTGCTATTATTTTAGTTATAAAAGATAAAGAAACGCTTTGTTTGGGGGCTAAGTGAAAGGGAGATGAAATTGGTGGCGTTGTTGGGCCAGCATGCAATGAAAATAGTGGGAAATTTGAGGGGGAATTTAAAGAAAGAAAAAGTACAGGGAGTCAATGACAAATTTGTTATGTTTTGTTTTCTATTGGGGTTTTGTTTTATTATGTAATGGTTTGGTGGATTCTTTCTTTTTAACGTTTATGTTAATTTCAATCTTCAACATAATAATTTTCTTTCATATTTTATTTACTCTTAAGCATGTATTTGATGTGGTGAGCATCGAGTTTTACATTTTATAGTTTAGTTCTTCGATAACACTAACAATTTCAATTCAAGTCAAGTCAAGTGTAATTTGAATTGGACAAGTAGTATATAGCATGATTAATGTCGTATTTCAAGGGGACTCTAGGTCTACTATTACTCTCAGCTTTGACATACTATCTGGTCAAATCGGATGGTTGATGATTTAAGTGGGAATAAACCTAGCGAAGAAAGAAACAAAACTAAAAGCGAGGGAGATCACTAATGAAGAGGTAGTTTCGGCAGACTTCGAACTACCTTCACTGCTTGTTAATGGTTCATGCATGTTATACTAAATTGGAGTGATTCATCATTCACTCCGAAAAAATACATATATTGAGCTCTAACACAATGGTCATGTAATTAGACCTCCTACCACCTAAGTAAAGGGACTTGAGTCCGAATTCTCACAACATCAAATAACTAGGTCATGCATTTAGGTTAGTATTCCACTAATGAAATTAATTCATTCTTCATGGCATATAACGTCACTAGGACAAAATCATGTGATGTCATGATCCATTCAATCACATAATCCTCATCTATCTAATGATGGCCCTAACTCTAGAGATTGAGGCATGATCACCTCATCAATCTCCAAGACCTAATTACACCCAACTTGAATTCCAATTATTGAAATTACTTGATAGAAATATTTTTAGATAACCATATGATGTTATGATCGAGTCACTCACAAAAATCCCACACCTTGGTGGGTCAAACCCTAGAAATTGAGGAAAGCTCACAATCACATAAATGGTGCCCAAGAATCATGCATCATAATAATCATAGATAGATAGTTGAAAGCAAATCAATATACTCAATCCATATATAGGAAGAAAAAAAATCCCTAACAAACATCTAGAGAGTTCTACATATAACCATCACAAAGGCTTAGCTTATAGAGAGAGATAGTGTACAAAAGTTAAAAGAAGAACATTACTATTGAGCTAGATCTATCTTCTCCTTCTTCCTTTGGTCACCTGTCATGAATCTTGGAAGGATTTGGTGTTGATTCCATGAATAAATCTCCCAAGAAGCCTCTAAAATCATCACTCACCCTCTACATCTTCCCAAAATTTGGTTCTCTCTCTTGAATGCCTCACTTTGTTTTAAAACATATCCTTGTATTTATAGACCCAAACATGTCAAAGATCTTGACCTAGGGTTATATGGAGTTCTTGGCCATGATCTCGGGTAAGAGTCTCATGATCTTTCCAAAACTTATTCAGGTCACAGGCATGGTCACGACCATGACCTGGCTGTGCTCATGTTTACGGGCAGAATTTATGACATGGATCTTTTCTTCTTGTCACGTACTCTATATCGTAGTCTACCTTTTCGTGGCCATAAGGCTGGCAGTGAGACCTTCTTTACTCGTTGTTGGTCGCCCTCTTGGAGTTTGCAAAGCTAGACAGCAAGGCTAGTCATGAGACCTTCTTTACTCATTGTTGGTCTCCCTCTTGGAGTTTGCGACCGTAGAACAGAGTTCACGACCATGAATGGTTGTAATGTACATTGTGGATTGGGTTATAGTCGTGACCTGAACTTGAGTCTTCTTTCACCCGTGAAACGACTTACAATTGTCACAAAACAAGGCACACACATTCTTTATCATGTTGGGACCTGAGATTAAGTAAGAAATCACAACCTAGTCTAGAAGAGGATGAGAATGAACAAGTTTCAACCCAATTGGCCAAGTGACGATCAAAGTCATGTTAAATCATAGAGTATGAACCTAGGAAGTAACTGTAGCATGAAATCAATCTAAAAAATTGTCGGAGAGGATGATTATAGCATACAAAACCGAAGAAATTAAAGGATAAATAACATCAATTTGGGTGTTATGAATATTTAAGCTTCAAGTTAGTGTTTGAGAAGATATGCTTTTTCATTGATCATGACCAGAACTTTAGATACACCTAACAAAACTATATGATGGAAAATTTCTCCGTGGGAGAGTGATCCGGGCCTAATTGCACACATTTTATCCCTGTTTCCTTTGGGCATTTGAAGCATTTGAACTCCTAAAAGGGTGATTTTACGCTAGGTTTTGTGGGTTTTAGTGTGTTTCACGATCCAACAGGTGAAACCAGCCCCAGAGTCGAAAGTTGGACGAAAAGAGGCGAAGACCGGCAAAGAGGGTGATTCAGGCAGAGTTCACGGGTAACATTGGAGTTCACGGTCCACTATGGCCGTGAACTGAAGCCTGAAACCATGAACCACGATGCGTCCAGGGAGAAATCTGCAGTTATTGACGCGAGACGAGTTCACGGTTAACAAGACTGTGAAGATTGAGGCCAAACCGTTAACTCCCGATGGCGAAGCGGTGCATTTCGACATCGCGCTCTATGTTCATGGACGCTTTGAAGAGTTCACGGCCTTAAACTAAGGCCGTGAACTGAGTCTGATCCTGGTATATAACGTGAGCTGAAAGGAAGAGAGAGGGGGATCCCAAGTGTGAGAAAGGGTCTTCTTCTTCAGATTTTAGAGAGATAAAGGACGAATCAAGAAAGAAGGAAAGCTAGGGTTTGCTCCAAGTGGTGAATTGGGAAGAATCTCCCCAAGAGAAGATCAACACAAGCTTAGAGGATATTGGAGGCATCTCCACGATGGTTTCTACCTCTTCCTCTTGTCTTCTCCCCCTTTATAGCATGGTGTAGTACTCTTTTTCACTTGGGTATTGTAAAACCCTAACTATTTGCCATGTAGTTGTAGTGTGACTTGAATGATTGTTTATGGGTGTTGTTTAATTTAACAATTGAGGTATTTTTCGTGATGATTGTGCATGTGTGTGCTTAGCAATCTAATTAGCCATTCTAACCTACGTTAGAGGGAAAACCCCCTTTCCAAAAGCGGCTCAATTGAGTTGGGATTCCTTGGACATGATAAGCCACCTACCTAGGTTAATGTAGGGCAAACCTCTATCTGGAATTAAGCAACTAGGTTAATATTGATTAAGCCGTCCAACCATCGGTTTGAGGGAGATGGTAAGTCAACCCTTAATTGCCTTAACCAAAAGAGCTACTCTTGTGACCTATAATGTATCCCTTTGTTTGGAAATTGAGAGTGTGGTCCTCGACCATAGTAGCACCTACTAGCGGTTCATGATTGCCTTGCTCATAACATCCCATTCGAGTCCACGTGACATAGTAGTTGTTAGGGGGAAATGAAACCCGAGCAATCCTTCTCATCTAGAGCTTTCAAACAATTTACTTTTGCTTTGTTTTGATTTAAATCTCATAATTTTCAACCAAAAACCAATTCGCTAGATAATGGTTAAAACACCGGAAGTAAGGGTACACGGGTTGGCCCGAGTTGATATTTAAACATACTTGCTCTATATTGCACCCATCTAAGGTTTATACTTAGGCCTTAGGTGGGAATTTATTGTGATATTCGGGACGATTCAAGTTTTTGGCGCCGTTGTTGGGGATTTTCGGTCTGTTATCTTGAAAAAGTTGTATGGTGTTAATCTAGCTTTTAATTTCCATTTTTGAAAGTGTGTGTGCTTTGCTTGTGCTAGACTTGGTGTTGTTTTCTAAGTGTGTGTGTAGGGAGGTGTATGTCCCGGAGCAATCCGACGCCTTTGATACTACGTGACGAGAACATCAACCGGACTCTCCAACTCCTAGCACGGGAGAGGGATTTAGCGGAAGCAAGGAGGTGAAGTGAATAAAGGGGACAACAATTTAGTCCCGATGTTGAAGAAGTGGAAGGTGAACCTGATATTGGAGTAGAAATGGCGGCGAACCAACAAGGAGGAGGAGCCTCCCAAGTTCACAACCATAATGATGAGGCGGCGGATGAGGAAATCTCAAGGACAATGGGATACTATATGTCCCCACGGCCGGTGGACATTGAATCACCAATCTTGCACCCTACCGTGGCGGCCAGCAATTTCGAGATCAAGCCGGCTCTAGTAACTATGATACAGAACAATGCTTTGTTCCACGGTCTTCCGAGCGAGTCACCAAGGGAGCATGTGCAGAGATTCTTGGAGCTCACGGGGAGCTTGAAAATCAATGGTATGTCGGCGGAAGCTTTGCAACTGAGGCTTTTCCCCTACTCACTTGCGGGGAAAGCAATCCAATGGCTCAATAGCCGACCGCCTCGTCCAATCACCTCATGTGACGATCTTCCTGTATTGCCCGCCTTTGAAGACGGTCGAGTGGAGAAAGAAGATCACCCATTTCGAGCAAGAGGAAGACAAGACCTTGAGGGATGCTTGGGAGAGTTTCTCCGATTACTTCCTTCAATGCCCTCAGCATGGATTCTAGGAGCTATTCCAGATTGAAAATTTTTATGGTGGACTTATACAAGAAGACAAGATTCTCATAGACTCTATTTGTCAAGGAAAATTGATGAATATGACTCCACCCCAAGTGACCGAGTTACTCTAAGACATGGCCCTCAAAGGATACGATTGGGGATGGACGAGAAGTGGGAAGAGAAGCAATGATAGAGGAGTGAGAAGTGTGGGAGCAAGCGCTCCACTTGAGGCGAAGCTTGACAAGTTGATCGAGGTAATTCTCGAGGATAAGAAGCACGGAAAGAGAGCGGTGCTGTCGTGCGATTGGTGTTCAAGCATGAACCATGAGTTGGCCGGTTGTGAAGCAATGAAGGAAGCAATCACTCCGGAGGAACAAGTCAACTTCGTTGCTAATGCTAGGGGAACAACCCGTATAGGAATACCTATAACCCGGGGTGGAGAAATCATCCTAACTTTGCTTGGTCGTCCCCGACAAATCCGCAACCCCCCGGTTCCAAGGCCCTACGGAAAATTACCAACCTCGACCAACCTTCATTCAACAAAAGCCTCAATTTCAAGGCTAGAACTTCCAACAACCTTACCAAGTGCAAGGTGGACAAGGTTTTCAACAACAACAACCCGACAAGCTATCCAAACTTGAAGACCTTGTAAATACCTTTGTGAGCACGAGTGCTCAGAAGTTCGAGAAGATTGATCAATTTATGGATGTGACAACTACCAAGTTTACCTCGGTTGAGGCGGGACTCCGAAGCTATCAAGCAAGCCTTCAATATTTGGAGGTGCAAATCGGCAATCTTGCCGGGATCCTCACCGAGAGACCAAAGGGATCCCTACCCTCTCAAACCATTGACAACCCCAAAGATCAAGCCGGGTACAATGTGATTTACTTGAGGAGCGGAAAGGTGAATCTGGGAGTTGTTGCTAAGGAAGTGATTGAGAAGAAAGACTCCAACTCCAAGGATAGAGATGAAGAACCCTCGAAGGGAGAGAAAGAAGTGGCAAGGAAGGCATCGCCAATGCCATCTCTGGTGGCCGAGTATAAGCCACCTCTTCCTTTCCCCCACAAGGGTGTACAAGGAGAGGTTGGAAGCGGAATGTGGGGGCTTCATGGAGATGCCCCGAAATCTCCACCTCAACATCCCCTTCCTCGAAGCTATGGGTCACATGCCAAGGTATGCAAAGTACCTCAAAGGATTCCTCACCAAGAAACCAAAGTTTGAAGACATCGCCAATGTGACTCTAGGCGAGGAGTTCTTGGCCTTCATCCTCAATTGGTTACCCAAGAAGCAACCTGATCCACGTAGCTTCACTATCCCTCTTAGCATTGGTAACCATCACATAGAAAATGCGTTGGTGGATTTAGGAGCAAGTATGATTGTGATGCCCTATAAGCTATTCAAAAGGTTAGACCTAGATGAACTCAAGACCACTAAGCTTAGTGTCACATTAGCTGACCACTCGGTCATTGATCCTAGGGGCATTGTGGAGGACATGTTAGTACGAGTGGGCAAATTTTGCTATTCGATGGATTTTGTGATCCTTGATATAAATGACTCAGATATGCCACTCATACTAGGACGTCCCTTCCTTGCCACCGCCAAGGCGTTAATTGATGTTAATGAGGGAACCTTGATTCTGAGGGATGGTGAGGAGAGGATCACTCTTGAAATTGAATCTAAGACTAGGAATGAGGATGTGAAGGAATTGGTGTCAGATGATTTGAATGTGAGTGGAGGAGATCCTCTCAAGACGAACCCCACTATTACTTGTGTTGCTCGTGATGATGTTAAGCAGGAAGTTAAGGAGGGTGCTATTTCTTGTTTTCTTGTTTCTGTTGAGTGAAGAGTTCAAGTGGTCCAGTGGTATCCCCGTGGCAAGTTTGATGATTTTGCGTTTTAAGGTTGTGTTGTGATCGTTAGGAGGCACTGTGGAATAGGTAGAGTCAAAATTTTCTCCGAAGTGCCCTGTTTTCACGCGGGTTCACAAACGGATTTGAGCATTCACGGTCTTACAAGACCGTGAACCAGGCACTTCTGCATGTAAACCACCTGTCGACCAACCCCAGTTCACGGTCTCTAAGACCGTGAACAAGCCAACGAATCCGTGAACGTCGTGCTTTGCTTATCTAAGGGGCATGAACGGAAATTCTTCACTTCACGACCCAAATCTCGCCGGGAAATTCGAATTCTCATCGGAAAACCACAAAATTCCACAATTTTTCATTTTTCACCCATTTTCGGCGATCAAAACCCAAAACAAATTGCATACCTATTCTCCCCTCACCAAAACCGGCCTGTGCTGCGATTTGGGGAGATTTGGGGCAAGGTTTGTCCGGCAAGGTCGCCGGCAACGAGTCTCTGATGGCGACCACTATCCGACCTGTTTTTCAGCCAGTTTTTGCCTTCCTCGTCTGCACCTCACTTCCTCCTACATCCTACATGAGTCTCCATGTTGGTTTTTCAGCTCTACCTTGTTTAATTTGGGAGAATCAGATTAGGTAGTGAAGTGAGGGTAATTTGTAATGCCTTGAATGTTGAACCTAGAATTAGGGCGAGGAATTGGGCGAATTAGGTTGATTGAATGTTGAAATGTTGTGCATGAGCTTAGTTGAGCCTTGATGGGAATTTAGTGATTCGAATTGCTTTTATTTGTTGATTTTGCCCACCGAGTGCTAATTGTTGAATGAAAATTGGTGGATGTATTTGAATGGTGGTTGGTAACCACCGTGGCATGGGTTGTGGTTCGAATCCTTTTGTTGATGAACCTTGAAATACCCACAACTATGCCACGGTGGGTTGCGCTTAAATGATTGAATTCCATAGTGGAAATAAGTATGGGGGAATTTCTTTTTCCTCCCAATGAGTTGTGCTTAATGAATATTTCCACGTATGGTGTTTGTTTGCCAATTTTTGCAGGATGGGAGCATGAGTTCATCAATTACCTGGTGAACCATCCGCGGTTTGGCGACAAGTTCGCCTACCAGAAGGACAACCCGATCGGACCACACTAACGGCTGGACATGGACATGTTAAACATGTTCAGGTGCCGAGCAGCAATGTCGGGGGTCGTCTGTCACCCCAAGTGGCGACGATTTCTCACATTGGACGAGATGATCTACCACGAGCTGTGCGTAGAGTTCTACTCCACCTTCGCCCATGTGGTTCCGAGCGGCAAGAGGAGCCGCCCGTACATGGAGTTTATGCTGGGAGGTCAGCCCCGAGTGCTGACCTTTGACGCCTTCGCCCAGGCCATGGGGCTTGACCCGACGCATATGTCGATGATGGAGCAGCAGCACACAATCGATTTTCACTATCAGGCCGCATTTCAGGCCCTCTGCCGCCCCGAGCACGAGACTGAGGAGTACGGGGCGAGCCGTACCAATGCGGTGAAGCTAAGGACCCTCTGGAGGATCCTCCACACTCTGCTCACCCGGTCGCTCGTCCCCAGCCACAGTTGGGACATCTGATGACCAACAGAGGGCTTATGGCTCTCTTCTCCACGAGGCATCCAGGCGGAGCCGATCCACCCAGGATCCCTGATAGCCACCTCTTTCGCCCGGTGTCTAGGGCGGATTAGGGTGGATACCATGCATATGGGGGACATCATCATGAGATTTGCCCGCCACTTCGGCGTGGATGTGGACCGATGCTCCATCATCGGGAGGACCGAGCCCTTCCAGTGGCTGCACTTTACAACCAGCAGTTGGTACTTCAGGAGAGGGGCATTGGGTACCTCGATGGGCTCCGACCTTCAGGATCCATGAATCCAGCATTTGACCCTGCTCCATTGGAGCCAGATGTAGGGGTTCGACACCCAAAGCAGCCACCTGCTCGAGCACCCGGCAACTGCCAGCGTCCTGCACACCAGCGCCCCATACCACCACCACCAGCAGCTTCAGCACCCAGGCCAGCGGGTGATCCCCTCGTCCATAGGGTGGATCGCCATGAGACCCACCTTGGGGGAGTGACTTCTCGCCTCGACCGACAGACGGACCTCCTCGAGCAGATGGCTAGACGCCAGGGTCTCAATCCCGATGATGAGCCAGGGCCTTCGACCTAGTGATGTAGCCGACGAGGGAGATATGTGGCGAAGCCGATTCCTTTTGCCCCACTACTCCACTTGGAACTCTGAACTCTTTTGTTTTATTTTTCTTTCATTTGTTTGTATGACCATAAACTACTACTACTATCGTATTGTGTTTTGTAATAACCTCTCCTTGAGCGAGTCACATTGTGTTTGTGTGTGTTTTGTATTTTCCTTGAAGCTCTGAATCTCCTACCCCATAAACAATTCCAACTTTCACTCACCAAGCAAAGCGGAAACGTTGTTCTACCCCTATCTTACGCCATTGAGGGCAATGTCGAGCTTAAGTGTGGGGTGGGATGGGGGGGGTAGTCTACTTTTATGCTTGTGTGAGTGTGATTGATGCTTGGAGCCTTGATTTATGCCCAACTTTGAAAAATTTGAGTGCTCCAAACAATGTTTGCATGATCAAAGTGGTCGGTTTGTAGGAGAATCTTGTGGTTATTGGCATTGAGTGATCGAGTACGTCCTATGATGATGATTGAGAGATGCATTAGGATAGTGCAAAGGTTTAGTTCTCATGTGTGCAAAAATGAATGGATGTTTTGACTCGATTACTTGTTGATTACAATTGCCATGCATCTTTCTTTGTGAATTGGAATAGATGGTCGGGTGACTAGGTAGCCTTATGAGCTTTGAGCCGATCGTTTCCTTCTTGTGTGCTTAGATCCCTCTTACCATGGAGAGTAACATCATAGTTGTCACTAGTGAGTATGATGGAGGCATAGGATTAGTCCACGCCCAAATGTTGATTGTCCCGAAATGAATTATCCACTAGTCAACCCCTTTGAGCCTTGTGACTTTGGGGGTCCTTCTTATGATGAGGAGCTTTTTGCTTGTGAGCTTAATGGTGTTAATAGAATGACCCCCCATCCTTTCTTCGTGTCTATACATGTGTCGTCCTTGTGTCCCGGAGCTCTCGTTTTGAGCTCCATTGAGGTTTTACATAGGAGGATTGTGTGTGGTTCTTGCTAGGAATTAAAGTGAAAGGAAGAGTAGTGTTGGAGTGAGTTCTTAAAAAAGAGAGCATTGATCGTTAAAAGTAGTGTGACAAATGTTTAACTCTCTAGTACCCCCCTCAAAAAGAAAAGAAAAAGAAAGAAAAAAAGATGTAATAAAAAGGGATTAATAAAGTAGAGAGTGCCACAAGGAATCAAAGAGTATGCTCTAGGTGAGGTTTCTTGGCACAAAAGCAAACTCCATCAGAGGGAGATACTTGTCCCACGATCCCCTCGTCTGTAATGTACAAGCCCTCAATAAATCCTCCAACGTTTGTATCGTCCTCTCTGTCTGTCCATCAGTCTGAGGATGATAGGCAGTTGAGAAATGAAGTTTGGTGCCCAAAGCCTTGTGAAGGCTCTTCCAGAACTGGCCAGTGAAACTAGAATCTCGGTCTAATACTATGGTTAGAGGAACTCCATGTAGTCGTACCACCTCCTGTTTATACAAGTCTGCTAATGCATCCACCCCCGGCTTGAACTTGATGGGGATGAAGTCTGCTGACTTAGTGAGACGATCTACAATTACCCAAACTCCATCATTACCCCACTCCGTCCTCGGTAGCCCGTAGAAAAAATCTATAGTGATGTGTTCCCACTTCCACTCTGGTATCTCAAGTGGCTTTAGCTTCCTTGCTGGAGCTTGGTGCTCGACTTTCACCATTTGACAACCAAACACTTGTGCACAAACTCAGCTGCCTCCCTCTTCATATTGGGCACCAGAAATGTTCCTGCAAAGTCAGGTACATCTTGGTCGATCCTGGATGCATGGCATAAGGTGCACAATGAGCTTCATCCAGGATCTCTTGCCTCAAATTATCCATGTTAGGTACACAAGCTCTGCCCTGGAAGAGTAACATCCCATATGTGATTTCAAACTTAGTATCTCTCCCATCTTGTACCTCTTGAATAAACTTGGAAAAAACTGGATCATCCTTTTGTTTCTCCTTAATTCGATCATGAAATAGTGGTCTAATCTTCAAATTAGCCACATGCTAGTAGCGTCCTCCAGTTGTAGTTCCACATTCATAGCCCTAAGTGCCACAAGCTCAGATATTGGGTCGTGCTCCTTCCTGCTTAGTGCATCAGCCACCACATTAGCTTTCCCAGGGTGGTACTCAATGGTACAGTCATAATCACCCAACAACTCCACCCATCTTCTTTGTCTCATATGCAACTCCTTTTGATCCGTGAGATGTTTCAAACTCTTGTGATCTGTGAAGATCTTGAAAATCTCACCATAAAGATAGTGTCTCCATAGTTTTAGAGCAAACACGATTGCAGCTAACTCCAGATCATGGGTTGGGTAGTTCACCTCGTGTGCTCGTAATTGCCTAGAGGCATAAGCGATCACCTTCTTATTTTGCATAAGAACACACCCCCAACCCCAACCACGTGACCTAGAAATAATACTTCTTTTAATTATAATTCAAACTTCGAGAACTTTGCATACAGTTTCTTTTCCCTCAACATCGTTAATGTGATCCTCAAGTGTTCTTTGTGCGCCTCATAATTCTTCGAGTAAATGAGAATGTCATCAATGAATACAATGACAAACTTATCCAAGTACTCATGGAATATGTTGTTCATTAGTGCCATGAATGCTGCTGGTGCATTGGTCAATCCAAAAGACATTACCAAGAATTCATAGTGGCCATATCGAGTACGGAAGGCTGTCTTTGGGATAGAGGATTCAGCCACCCGCAACTGGTGGTACCCCGACCTTAGATCAATCTTAGAGAACACAGAGGCACCCTAAAGTTGATCAAACAAGTCGTCTATCCTGGGTAATGGATATCGGTCCTTCATCGTTGCCTTATTTAGACTCCTATAGTCGATACACATCTGCATACTATTCTTGACAAATAGCACAGGGGCTCCCCATGGAGAGATACTCGGGCGAATGAAACCTTTGTCCAGTAGTTCTTGCAATTGCTCCTTCAACTCCTTCGGCTCTACTGGTGCCATTCGGTATAGCGGTATCGAAATTGGTGCAGTACCCGGTACAACTTCAATGTCAAACTCAATCTCTCTCCTTGGGGGTAAACCAGGGAGATCTTCTGGAAACACATCTGGGAACTCCTTGACAATGTCCGCCTCTTCGAGCCTCACTTCTGGTGTGGTAGTAACATGAGCCAAATAAGCTTCACACCCATCTTGAATCAGTGCGAATGCTGGTGGTTGCAAATATCAAACTTCCTGGAATGGCCCTACGTATCCCTTTTAACACAGCCATTCCTCTTCCTTCCAAGTCAAATCGAACCTCCTTGTTGAAACAATCCACTATCGCTCTGTTCTTGGATAGCCAATCCATTCCCAAGATAATATCGAATTCATCAAAAGGAAGTAACATAAGGTTTGCCTCCAGTTCATACCCAGCGATTTCCACTATGCACTCTCTGACTATGGAATTAACTATCAACGTATCGCCCACAGGTTTACACACCCCCCATATTCTGATTGAGGTGCACAGGTACCATCCCTAAGGTTCTAGCAAAAGCAGTAGATACAAAGGAATCCGTAGACCCAGGATCTATCAAGGCAAAAGCAGGACGATTATGAATACAAACCATACCAGTCACAACCTCTGGGGCTGCGTTTGCTTCTTCTCTCCCCATAGCAAAGAGTCTGGGTGCCTGCTAGCTTTGGACATTTGACTCTGGTCGCGACGATTATTGTGGATGTTGCTGGTGGTGGCTGCTCTATCATTGAATATCCCGCCTGATTGCATCCTTCCTCCACCAAACGAAGGCTTAGATACCGCCATAGTGCGTCCCGTGAATCGTGGGCAATTGGCCTTTTTATGCCTCGTCTGACCACATCCAAAGCAGAGGCCTAGCTTGAACCTGCACTCCCCTAGATGATGCTTCTCACAAAATTGACAGAGCGGGTACTATGTCTGGTACTGCGTGGGTGCACTTCTGTTAGAGCCTTCCTTGCTATGGGTAGGCAGCTGGAGGGCACAACCAGGTCCTCTCTTAGAAGGGTGAGTTGAGAGAGTCTGGCTCCCCGAGTAGGTGGACTATTTCCTCTTCTGGACATCGAATCTAGCAACCCTCTCTTCTTGAGCCATCTTCTCATCCTTCTCGATGAGAATGGCAGGCCGATAAGCTATGGGTTGAGATACCCTCTCTGCTTCTCCCATATATTTCTTAATTTCTGCTTTCAAGCCTCGAATATAGCGATCTCGCATCCCTGTCGTTGTTCGGTAAGCGGGATCAGCATATTTTCACAACTTCTTAAATTGCTTAGTGTATTCAGCGACAGTCTGCCCCCACTCCTGCTTCAATTTCATGAACTCTTCTCTCTTGTCATCCCGAATGGAGTCGGGGATATACTCATCAAGAAACATCTTTATGAATCGATTCCAGGTGATTGCTAGAGGTACTTCTTCACTTTCTGGTTGGAGTTGCCACCAATCTCTTGTTGTCCCCTGGAGTACGTGTACCACCATGGCAATCCTATCCTCATCATCGTCGATACGAAGCTCATCCAGGGTTCGGGTGAGCTTCAAAAGCACGCATCAACCACCTCGAGGTCAGAAGATCCCTCAAAGTCAACGACTCCCATTTTCCAAAGTGCGACATAATTTGGAGGTGGGCGTCGGCCACCACCTTACGGAGCTCCTCCCATATTCATACTCCTACATGAGGGCAATGACTTTCGTCAGAATCTTGAAGACATCGTACTTGTTAGTAGACGAGACTGGATGTTCTAAAACAATTTTGGGTTCCATGAAAACTTTGTTAAAAAGTTTCTAAAACATTCCGAGCTTGTTAAAAACATGGAGACCGACTTCCCAGTATCTCACTTAAAAGTGAAGACAAAGGGAAACCTGTTCTGATACCAAAATGTAACACCCTAGAGCGGCCGGTCACATAATTTACGAAAATGTCCTTGATAACCATAAAATGTTCAATATGAAAAGTACGGTAGAAATATCACATCAATCAAATCCGAATTCAAAAGGGAAACACATTCTTAATCATGAAAAGCGAACAACCGTCTCAAGTCCCCTAACGAACAATGCATAAACTTTAGAAGTTCTTCATTATGCTTCCTTAGCCACTAACCCCTCTGATGACATCCTGAACAGCAACTGTGCACCTGTGGGTGGTCTACAAGCTCCTGGTTTCTAGCAGCTCATGAATGCGGGTGTTCGGGTCAGTCCTAATCCTAATTCCATTCTTTACATAATATAGAAAATGAAGCAAAATGCAAATGGTTTCAAATGTTCATGCATAAAAATATTTACTGGACTTGTAAATGATTTTCTTGAAATAGCCATTCTTTACGAAAAGGGGGCCCGGAGCTCAACTTAACTATCATGCCACCACGATCACCGAAATACTTAAACATGATCGTATTATCCATGAGTAGGGTTCGTAACCTCCTTATTACCCAGGAGTAGGGTTCGTAACCTCCTTAATCATAACATGAGGTAACCGCGCGCGTGCGCCTAGCTAAGTGAGGTTTAAAACATGTTCTTACTTGCTTATAAACTTGAACATGAATCTCATAAATGCATAAATCGACACATAAATATCGTATAA